CGAATGTATATTGTTTAGCTCTATTTGATTAAAAACAATTATCTTATTAAATTATTGTAAAATTATAACAATTTTACGTTTAAAATTAATTTGTTATTTTTTCCCTCGCAATATTCATTTGCGTTATTTACCTTTCCAAAGTTACAATGGCTCTTACGTCTATTAAGCACACCAGTTCTGAAAGACGCTAAATTCATAATAAAGATTAAAGAAATTAACAATTAACAAGAAATAAAAATAGAGAATGTAAATATAAGCATTGAATTCTTATGTTTGGATGTCGTCGGTCCTATAACAGCACTTGTCCGTGCCGACAATTTATCATACCGCGCTAACGCGCGGTATTCAATTTGTAGGCACGGCCAGTTGCTGTTATAGGACAGACAACATCACAAATAATAATTCCATGCTACAATACAACACTTGTTTTCAAACCGAATAATATGAATTATGTAGAATTAAGTTTGTAATATGTTTAGAAAATCTTCGGGAATAAATGTCGGACCAAATGATTCGGAACGCTGGAATTCTCTTCATCTAAGAATCAACATGACCCACATAGGAAAAGTCGGTGAGTTCAATGAAAGAACAGAAAGTTTCTCGAATTATGTGGAAAGACTTGAACAATTTTTTGCGGCAAATGAAGTTAAGGATCAAAAGAAAGTAGCAGTATTTTTGTCGATTATTGGTCCAACGACCTATGGAGTTTTGAAAAAAAAAAAAATAGTGCAACCGGACTTGCCAAAAGAAAAAGAGTACAAAGACTTAGTAAAAGTGTTGCTGGGGTATTACATGCCCAAACCATTAGTGATTTCCGAGAGATTTAAATTCAACAAGTAATAGTTTTTCAAAAAGCTTGCCTGACTGAACAGTTAATATCTATAGAACACATAAGCATGATAAGAAATAAATGTTTCCGTCCAGTTTTGAAGTTAAGGGGGGGGGTCATAATATTTCATTACCTTACATTTTTAAGATTTATACAAAACATCACGATTTTTTTATCTTCACTTTTTTGCGACTCTTCAGAAGAATGGAAACTTATGGAAAAGTAAACATTTAGATAACGATATTTATTTTATCTCAAATAACAGGAATACAAGTGGAATGTACATGCATAAGGATAACATTTGAAAGAAGTTAATATGACATGATATTGAAGATTCCTTAAATAGTTTTAAATTAAAATATAGTAAGTAAGGAAAACAAATTAATGTGATTAATTTGTGCTGGGAAGCTGTGGCTTTGTAGAGGTTACATTAATTAATTTCAAATGCACAGGAGATCAGAAATGCCAAAAACAACTGAAAATATGATAGCTATTCATAATACCAATTGAAAAAATTTAAAATGAATATCGAATTGTAGCGTGCACTTTAATGCATAATTATTTTACGGAGAACATTAATCTCAGAATTTTGAAGACAAATAATAATTTATTTCACAAACTTAATATAACATTTCCGAAGGGGGAGGGGGGGGGGCAAAAATTGACAAGCCAAAAAAAAGTAAACTGCAAAAACTCGAAAATCCTCTTTCATAGTGGGGGGGGGGGGGGGGGGTTCTGTAACTCCGATTTCTCGGCACATTTTTTTTAATGCTGAAATTTGCTTGTGTTCAACTGTACAGCAGCAAAAAGTGGGAGGGGGGCAAGTAGCTTCAAAACGACAATTTACATAGTAAAACTATATCAAAAAGGCTATTCTCAGAAAAAATGGGGGGGGGGGGCAGCCCGACCATCCCCCGCCGCGTACTGAAGGCCTGTATAAGAAGTAAGGACATATAAGGACGTGCATGATGAAAGTTCCACAATGTTGGATCCAGGGCAAAATGTATCAAACCAGTTGACCAAATGTTCAAAAGATTATCATTATAAAGTAAAACTGCACACAATTTCCCTTGTTGGTGTGGAGTCTATTGAAAAAAATCGTAAATATAATTATGTTTGTTTGTTTGTTTGTTTTTTTGTTTTGTTTTACGTCCCTCTCGGGAATTTTTCACGCATATGGAGACATCACCATTTGCCGGTGGAGGGCTGCAAATTTTGACCTATACTCGGCACTAAGGGCCACTGAGCAGTGAGGGATCTATTTCGTGCCAGCACCTACTGCGACACGGGACCTCGGTTTTACGGTCTCATCCGAAGGACCGGTCTCCACGTAACGCAGTGGAGTCGAACCCGCGACGTAAGGATCAACTCCTTACTCTGCAATTCTATAGCAAACAGTCTAACCACTGCGCCACGCGGGCGACCGTAAATATAATTATGTCTGAAGACTAAAGATTGATTGATTATTTGAATGAATATTGTTTAACGTCCCATTTGAGAAATTTTCACTCATATAGAGATACCGTGTGTTATGTTATGTTATTTAAGAAAGAGAAATTTTTTAGTTAAAAAATTTTAAGAATGAGGTTAAAAGAACAAACTTTATTTCCATGGAAGTTATCACACCCTTTTAATAGAACAAAAGAAAAAAGCAAGACAAATAGACTAATCCAATGGTTTAGAAACGCACATATGTTTGTATAGGGAATACCAAAGAATAATCAGGTGCAAGCAAAAAAAAAAACCAAACAAACAAACAAAAAACAAAAAAAATAAAAAAAAAAAAATTAAAAAAATTAAAAAAAAAAACCCAAAAAACTGAAGGAAGTAAAAACCTCAATATTTTGCTTCAGTAATATGATTCTTTCTTCTGCAAGATGTTTTTGTTAAAATGCAGGTAACCAATTCCGATTAATATCAGCTTGTTCAAAATCTATCTCACTAAGTATGATCTCTTTCGGACCATGGAACAAATTGATCCTTATACTGCCTGACGCTTGTGGCTTCAAGCAATAAGCGAAATCATCAGGAGGATGAAAGCGTGAACTCGTATGTAGTTGAGTTTAAGAGGCTATCCACACATTGTGAGTTTGGGGGATTTTTACCTGAGGCACTTAGAGATCGACTAGTTTGTGGGTTACGGTCAGAAACAATACAGAAAAAGCTGTTATCGGAGACAGATTTGGATTTCAATAAAGCGGTCAAGATTGGGAATGCCATGGAAACAGCTGAAAAAGACACGTTGACATTTTTGACTCCTGATCAAGGCATACACAGTGCTGAAACAAAAAAATATGTGAGAAAATCTAAGAACCGAAAGAAATTTCAAAGTCAATATGCAGAGGAATGTTACCGATGTTGGAATAACCATATCCCAAAGGAGTATAAATTCAAACACAGTAAGTATTTCAAATGTCAGAAAATTGGCCGTATAACGAAGAAGTGCCACTTGAGAAAAAAATTGGAAAAACCAACATTGTTTGTGACTAAGCAGGATGATGAGACAGATTGATCAGATTGCATTTGTTGTATTTTCTGTACCAATGAAACTGACCATAGTAGAAGGAAGTTGAATATTAACATAACTGTGGGAGATGAAGAGGTTGTATTTTTAGTAGACGCCGGGAGTGTCCGTACCATTGTAGTTGAGGCATTTTACAAAAGACAATTACCGGTAGAGCATTTCAAGCTCACAAAAACAGATACTGTTCTTCGTTCATATACTGGAGATGAAATTGGACTGCTGGGAGTGTGTAGAGTTCATGTAAAGTACCAGGAGCAAGGGTTTGCCCAGCTACCATTGCTAGTTGCCCAAGGACATCGACCTAGTTCATTGGGGAGGGACTGGCCGTCAAAAATAAAACTCAACTAGGAAGAAGTCTTTTGCAGTCACCATGAATGAAGTTGAAGCCCTAAGGAGGGAATACAGTGACATATTTCTACCAAGCACAGAACCAATAAAGGGTTTTAAAGCACAAAGTAGATTGAAGGATGCATATGACGGACATCCGATATTTTGTAAAGCACGTACAGTACCGTATGCCTTTAATGGAAATAGAACTGAGAAAATTAGTTGAGAGAAATGTTCTTAAAAAAGTAAAAAACAGCTCATGGGCAGCTCCTATTGTGGTGGTTCCAAAGGCAGACAAGTCAGTAAGAATTTGTGGAGGCTATAAAATGACAGTTAATGGGGTCATTAGTGATGAGCGGTGCATACTGTCCAATACAGATGACATGTTTGCTAGCTTAGCAGGCGGACAAAAATTTACAAATTTGGATCTAAGTCTAGCCTTTTCTCAGCTAGAATTGGAAAGAGAATCTCAATAATACTTAACCATCAATACTCACCTTGGATTCTTTCGATATGCCAGGCTACCTTACGGAGTTAGTTCTGCAAGTGCAATATTTCAGTCAGTGATGGACCAAGTTCTATTGTGATTAGATCATGTGGTATGTCGAATAGATGACATTCTAATTGCAGCGACTGATGATATTACTCACCTGAATACGCTTCGAGAAGTGTTCCGACGTCTGCGAAAGCATAACACTAAGTTGAAAGCAGAGAAGTGTGAGTTTCTTGCAGACCACGTTGTCTATATGGGGTTCCTGTTAGATCATAATGGAGTACACCCAGCTGAAGAAAAGGTCAAGGCCATGAAGGGCATCTAGACCCACCGAAGTAAAAGAATTAAAATCTTTTTTTGGTTTGGTGAATTACAATGGTGCTTTTCTGCCAAACTTAAGTACTGAGTTAAATCCACTCCATCAGTTGTTAAAAAGCATGAACCGTGGAATTGGACTGCTGACTGTGAGGAAAGTTTTAATGTTTGTAAAAAGATGATCACTGAGAGCAAACGTTTAGTGTTTTATGATCCCAACAAACCTGTACGTTTGTCGTGTGACTTTTCCTCTTATGGGATCGGAGCACTTACGTCACATGTAATGAAAGATGGTTCGGAGAGACCAATAGCTTTTGTCTCCAGAACACAGAGTGAAACCGAGAGAAGCTATGCTCAAATAGAAAAAGAGGCATTATCATCAGTATTTGGAGTAAAGTAATTACATACGTACCTGTTTGGACGCAAATTTACGTTGGTGACGGATCACAAACCATTGTTGTTGATTCTTGGACCAAAGAAGGGTCGGAGTTCTTCCATAAGCTGCAGCAAAAATGCAACGTTGGGCGCTGATCCTGGAAGCGTATCAGTATGACATGCAGTACAGATCGTCTGAACAGCATAGAAATTGTGATTCCTTATCGCGATTGTCATTACATGAGATAGAACAGGAGGAAACAGAAGAAGGAATATTTACATTGGATATGTGCTTAACAATCTCTAGTCAGGAGATAGCGATAGCTACTCGAAGAGACCCGATTATGTCGAGAATGTTTGATTTCACTCTGAATGGTTGGCCAGCTCATGTAGAGGATGCTGGTTTGCAACCTTTCTTCGATAGAAGGAATGAACTTACACTGGAAAAGGGATTGATCTGGTGGGGGATGCGAGTGATCATTCCAGAAATGTTTAGAGGTCGATTGTTGCTAGAGCTGCACGAGGAACATTTGGGAATGTCTCGCACAAAAGCCTTAGCCAGGGGATATCTTTGGTGGCCTTATCTAGACAGGGATATTGAAGACATGGTTGAAAGAAGTTCAGCTTGTGCATATACAAGAAACACTCCAAAAGAAAGCCCCCTGCATTCTTGGATTTGGGCTTCTAGACCGGGTCAACGGGTACATATAGATTATGCAGAATATGAGGGACACTTCTTTCTTGTTATTGTAGACAGCTTTTCAAAATGGCTGGAAGTCATACCTGTGAAGTCCACCACAAGCAGGAATACCATTTAAAAATTAAGGACATGGTTTGCCTCATTTAGAATACCTGAAGAAATAATAAGTGACATTGGACCCCAGTTTACATCTTCGGAGTTTCAAGACTTCATGAAGCAAAGTGGAGTTAAGTATTCAATTGTACCACCCTGTCATGCTCAGTCAAATGGTTTGGCTGAAAGAAGAGTACAGATTCTTAAAAAAAGTATTAAAGAAGCTAGACTATGATGGTCATAGATGGTCTCTTCAGCAACGACTTCCCAACTCTCTGTTAAGGTATCGCATCACTCCACATAGCACTACTGGTATATCACCACAGAAATACTTCTTAAGAGTCAGCTACGAACCAGGCTGAGTTCCATTAAACCTAATCTTCGGGAGCGGGTGGAGGAGAAACAGCAATAGATGACAGAACAACATGATGTGTGAACATTTTAAAGTAAGGAAATTTCAGAAAGGTGAACAAGTTCAAGTGAAAACAACTGTTCCAGGACAAAAATGGAAGTGGATATCTGGTGTGGTTCATAGGCAGTTAGGACCCTTAACGTATAACGTAAGAGTTGGAAAACGCATTCGTTATTGCCATATAGATTATCTATTAGCATCGTCTGCTACATTGCTGGAGCCAGAACCTACATCACAACCACTTCATGTAGGGTTAGCATCTTTTATGGAAACAGACACGGATAGGGCATTGAAGTCTCCGAAAGAACCAGAGAAGGAAGTTCCTGAGATGGTGGAAAAGCCAGCAAAGCTTCTGGACTTATGGAAAAAAGGATATGGAGGTGCCTGATCAGACTAATGCAGCACCCGAACGTCGCTATCCACTCAGGATGAGGAAACTCACCCAAAAAAATTGTAAAGTGAAATATTAGGTGAACTAATACGACATGTTGTATTACCTGCCTAACGAACAGGATTAATAGATTTATACGCAACAGATGAATTGATTCCATTGAAATCAATTTTTTTTTCAAACAGATTTAAGAAAGAATTGTCATCAACTGTAAAACGATTCTAGTGAGTTCATCTTTAATTTTGCGAAAACTGTTTCATTTCTTAAAGTATTGCTGACTTTAAACACTAATGGTTAACTAAGCTTTAAACTTTTTTGCAAAATGCGTGATTTAAGCTTTCCCATGTCAACATTTGTTTTCTTTATAGCAGTATTATATTCCTCCTTCACCAACGAGGTTATAAGGCATACTATAAAACATGACCTGGTCCGTCCGACCGACAAGGTGTGTCATCAAAGTGACCCGACCCTTATATATCTTCAATCCAAATTTTTGTCAAATTCTTCTTTTTTTAATTACGCTAAATTTTCAGAACAAAGGACTTTATTTTACTTTGATTTAATACCTCCTTAACATCCTTAAAATGCAACAAATAAATATATAAATAAATGAAATAAAGAAATGAATAAACAAAACGATCCGCATGATGCTCTAGCAAACAGGATAATTTTTCAAAATGTTTACTTTAATCGACATTGTTGGAAAACTCTGTAACGTCAACTTTTCAAAGGTTTAGAACTTATTGTCGAGTTCATTTAACCGTCACGGTAGCTCTGTTGTTAGAGCCCTGGGTCCTTGATTGGAGGGTCGTTGGTTCGAACCTCGGGCGCGACCGGCCTAAGATAAAAAACATAATAGGTAGCAACTGTTCCTTTCCCTAGCGCTCGGCGGCACTTTGAAATTGTGGTTCTTTTGGATAAAGCCTTAAAAACCGAGCTCCCGTATCACGACAAGCGTTGGCACGATAAAGAACCCACACTGCTCGATGGCCCTGAGTGCCAAGTAAAGATCTAAATTTTAAGCACTTCACCGGTATATGCTGATCATCTCTATATGAGTGAAAAATTCTCGAATGGGACGTAAACAACATACAATCAATCAATCAATTAACTACATAAGAGCATGCACTACCTGCTAACAATTTTTAAACCAAGGCTGACAAATTAGATGATGCTAGCGCGCTTCATGAAATATGCCTACGTGACAAGTATGTGTGATTTACACACCAATAACTCACACAAAACTTAAAAACATTCCTTAATTGTTAACAGTTTTTTCGATTTACCAGATCATGAAAAAAGTGTCCGTGACTCAGTGGATGCGTCTTCCTCCATTGCACAAGTCTGGTTTTTACAGGGTCGATGTTTGCTCTAGATCTGCTTTCAATTTCATTTTTTTCAAGTGAAATTTTAGCTCAATCAGTGTTCGTTATCTTCAAATTCCAACGTACCCATGGCTGCTTTTGTGTATAGAATTAGCTTATTGACATAATCATGTTATACAGGCGATAGTGTGTTGTAACTACATTAGAAAATAAATTTAACGATGGAAAAACTGAAACAGTCACCTTTGTCATATACTGTAAATAGAAGTTCGAATTAAAGTCTATAGTCACGAAAAAACATTCAAATATGAAACAGCTGTTGAAAACAGAAATGTAATATGTATATATGACGAATGGTGATAAATCTCTAGCATCAAGTAATGAACACTATCAATCAAATCTTGCATAGTCGTATTTTTTCAAAAAAAAAAAAAAAAAAAAAAAAAAAAAAAAAAAAAAAAAAACTTGCATTAAATTTTCAACATTTTCAAAAACAAATATTTGCTCTTATATTTAGAGCATGACACATTGCTTGAATTAAATGCTCCGACATAATGCTTATAATAATTTTTATGAAAAAGGCGAAAGATAACGAACATTGATAGATCTTAAAAAACTACAAACAATATAAATCTATTAACAGGGAATAAAATACAGACTGTTGGAACCTCAGAGGTGGAATCAGGTGCCTAGAAGGAGTAAGCATTCCCTGTTGACCGATCAAACTCGCCGGGAGATCGATGTTTTGATCAGGTACACGGAATTTTCCCTAGTCAAATTAAGCATAAAAAGAAAGGTCTCGAAATTGGTATGAAAAGCATCAGTCAAAAATAAAACCAAATGATATGTTTGCTAACAGGGTAATCACAACGACCAAAGAAATCTGACATGGTGAGTTTGCCTTATCTTTGTACATATGTTGCTTAGAATATACAAACCCTGAATCATACTACTACCCTATTTAAGCGTGTGACTTCATTGATTTTCTTTTCATGTAAATTTAGAAGCGTTTTGTGTTAACCATGCAACGTTTCGGGGAACCCGTGAAGTGAGCGTTCGATAAGCGTATGGGAAAAGTAGGACAGATGCCATTTTATTTTAAATATGGTTGTCGATTGGATAGGATTTCAAAATGTGATGTTTGTAACTATCAATATCCGGCTAAATTATACTTGTGATGTTTTATGAGTGATAATAAAACAGACCTACGTAAAAGTATACGGTTGCGTATATCATATATATATTTGGTTTTTTATTCTTCAGTGTAAAGCTAGACAGAAAATGAATGTGTGAAAACTAATATTTGTCATATGAACAGCAATTTTAAGGACATTAAATTTGATACTCCGAGAGTGCTTTATGTTAAGCTATCCTAGTTCTTTTTTTTTTAATTACACAACATAATTTTTAAAATTAATTAGGCTCTTACACTTGCTTTTAAAATTGTTGCCTTTAACTCGACATTTAGATATATCAAAGAATTTCATGGGTCTTTTTTTGGCTGACTTGTGAATTAGTTGATAATGTGTCGTCGATATTTCTGAATGTCGATTTCAAGGCCACAATAAGTCTTCTTCTCATGTTTAAGCCTTTGAATAAATTCTGCTTCGTATGAACACAAAAATAGGTCTGCAAAAATAGGGCGCAATTGTTACCAATGGGGATATTGTCAATCCTCTTAAAAGTCCTACAAATGTTTTGCGGACAAGTAACTTGACGTAAAGAGGGGTTTGTTTCATACCCTTTTTAAAGGAAAAACACCATTTTGCAGTTATGAACAAATGTTCTACAAAAACATTAAAATCTTGACACATTTGCAAGGTGAATTGTTGATGCAGGCAGATTCAGTTCATGTTTTTTTACTAAACTAAATTACTTGCACTAAATTTTCGAGGTAGCAGCTGTTCTAATAAGCCAAAACTTTCTCGATAGAATATGGGTGAAAAACATTCCATGTTACAGTCAATGTTGGTTAGTACAATAAATAACCCTAAAGTTCTGGCCGTCAGCACCATTCATATGAAAAAAAAATTACCTAGAGCAGTTGTCGTTTTTTCTTGTGGAAAAAAACATATCGAATGGGACCATAGACAACAGTCAATTAATACAATACATACTGATAGCAAAAGTTCAAACACGTTTTAAAAAGAGATTTTGTAATAATATTTTCACGTGTCTCTAATGAACTTCAGCGTTTCTTATTTTCTAGAGAAACACATACCCCTTCCTAGAACTTTGTAGTTTTCTTTTGAAAGTTCTTATATGTTGATTTTCTTAAAATCAATAGTCTAGTTTGCGATCGATCTAATCTGACTTATAATTTGATAACATATTTTCAAACTTTTATACATTTTGAACATGATAGCTTCCTACCTTTGTCTGAAAAATTTGTCCAAATATTTTACCGCAGGTTGTGATAGAATTCTCCATGAGGTTCAATTCCTTTTAAATCACTATTCACTAGCAATTGATGACAATGTAACATTCTTCTCTAGTATGAAGCTTATATACTATTGTCACGTCTTATTAAACTTCAGGGTTTTTAGGAACAAAAGTCAAAAGGAATAAATAAGAATAATTATACAAACTTAGATAATTTTGATAATGCAGCAAATATGATATATTTTTTCCCAAAATTAAAAATGTAATTTTAGAATATGCAAATTTCCTCTTTAGAAAACAAACTAGTTGTCAGGAACTCTTCCAAAGTACCAAAGTACCCACAACGTTATTTTTGACATAAAAATACGATAGGATATAACAGGAAACAATTATGGAGCGATTAGATTATAGAAAGTATTGTTCTTGTGTGATTTCATATTTGCTTTATTCTACGAAATAAAATAGTGTAAATTCGCAAGGTTTGCAGAACGAATGTACATCTTCTTAATGACATT